AAAAAAAATCCATCATTTATTTATACCTTGATTTGTACGTGATTTAATAGTTAATTTTAAATTTTTTATTAATTACAAATTATAAAAGGTAAACGACTGAAAGGTAAAATTTTTTAAAAAGATACATTTACTAAAGAAACAATAATGTCCGTAATAGTAGAAAGAGGTTTTAGCCAGCGATTTATTGATGGTGAGGTGCTGAAGAGATAGCCATGGAGTCTACTCCACGTGATTAACTATAGGTGGGCCGGTCCGGTCCGGTCGTGTACCATTAGGATAAGCACTTGCGTGCCGGACCCACAGTATGTTTTTTTACTTTTTGTTGTACATGAATAAGCGCCAACCGAAGCATGGTTGGTTACAAGGCAATCATATAAAAATAATTTTTTTAATAATTTTATTATATTATTTTTAAATATATTTTTTTATTTTAATTACATAATAAGAAGTAATTATTTTTTATTTTCTATTTCATATTATTTGTATGTTATGCGATTTGAATTCAAAATCTTTTATTTCAGCGAAAATAGATAATTATTAAATTATTTAAGTTGTGTGTTATAATTTTTAAATATTATTAAATAAATATATATTTAATATTATTAATTTTAAATAAATAAAATAAAATAAATTATTTAAAAATATATAAAATTATTAAAAATAAAGAAATAGTGCATATGAATTTCTCATATTAAAAATAATTGAAATGTTAACATTAAATTATATTGTTTATTTAATTAAAATTCAACTTAAAATTTAAAAAATTTCTTATTAAATGTTAATAGATTAAAATATATAATAATTTTTCAAATTTAAATATCAACATTTAATAAAATAAAATTTTAATTTTAAAATGTAAATTAAAATTTTAATTATTTTTGAAAGCTAGGACTAATCTACATTAATATCAAAATATAATATAAAAATGGTTTATTTAACGTGTGATCTAAGAATGCATGTTAAATATATATTAAATATATTTTTTATTATAAATTTAAATTAAAAAAATAAAAATTAATATTTAATTTACTAACTGTTTAATTAAATTCATTTAATATTAAAATTAATATTAATTTTTATACCTTTTTATATATGTTTATAATAAAAAAATATATTTAATACACTTTAAACTTATATTTTAAAAACACAATATAAAAAAGTCTTATAAAAAATTACCTATGAATCATTTTACTACTTGGTTTTATTATGCAGCCGTTTTGACGAAGCAATCCTGGCCGTCACCTTAATAGATGGGGGGTTTGAGTGGGGGACCACTAATGTCTTCGTATTGTTTAAATAAAGGGGATGATGTTTTTAATGTGTATTCAACAGTGAGAGTTGGTTTTATGCAACCGCTTGACGGTACAATCCGAACCTTCGCCTTAATGACTTGGGTGGACCACTGCGAAGTATTTTCCTCAATGTCTTGGTTGACCGTGACAAGTTCCAATTTACTAATTAATGGAGTACTAATTTGGTTTATTATTAACATTGAGATTTGGGGATAATAAGAGTACTGATTACAAGGATTAAGTAAATTAATCAAATTCTAAAAATACTTGCTTTTTTTTTTTGGTAATTAGCAAAGATACTTATAGGGATGCTAAAAAAGGTGTTTACGCGACTCGGGTGCAAATTAATCGGGACGAAACCTTGAATATTGGGGGGGAAACAAAAAAAAAAAAAAAAGGGTGTTTATTCTTTTGCTACAGTGATTAGCGTGCATGGTGTAAACAGTCGAGATGACTATTGTTATACTCTTATTAACATTTTTGCTTGCAAATTATTCTCCTATTTTGCATATTTAGAGACTAAATTTTTTTAGTAAACGTTAAGGGTATGTTTTGTTTGAGGAGATGAGAAATAAAAAATTTCCATTTTTAGATTTAGGAAAAATAGAGGTTAGTAAAAGGCAAGGGGAGAGGTTTTCTTAATTTGCTTTAATCTACTTTGCATTTTAATATATTAAGGATAAAAAGGTAAATGAAATATGCAAATTAATGCTAATTCTAATCTTCATAATAAGTTGATGAATTTAATAAATAATTGATAAATAAATATCAATTTTTGGTTTTTATTATAATAAAAAAAATATGTATTTTACAAACTACCCACTTTGACTTAGTGACATTGAATCTTGGATTATAATTGTTCATTTCTTGTGGATTACACGTTTCAATCCCATCGAAACCCTTTCTCCAATCTCCCAATTAATTTGTAAATAATTGCAATATATTTTTAAAAAAATATGTATTATACTTTTAAAAATATAAATTTAAAAAATCATTAAATAAAAAGAAAAGAAAAAGATAAAAGAGAAATAAATGATATTATCTCCTTTGCATTCCCTTCAAATCAAACAAGTTAATAATGCATCTCTAACCTTAACACGGTGCATTCAAGAAAATCAATCCTAGAAGTGGAAAAGTAATTCTTTATAAACCAAAAGGGTTAAAACCTACTTTTGGTTTTTTATATTAATAAGTTTATAGGTTTAACCCCTCATTTTATAATATGACACTTTTAACTCATGAGTTATATGAATTAAAAAAATAATCTTTATTTAAGGTCAAGTTATAATGTTTTATTAATTCTGTTAGCTGACTGTTAGCATTCCGTTAACAGAATTAATAAATAAAATTAAATTTAAATTTAAATTTCATGTTCTATAACAGAATGCTAACGGATGTTAATAGTTAACTAATAGAACGTTATAACTTGATATTAAATGAGGGTTATTTCTTTCAATTCATATATATAAGGGATTAAAAGTGTCATATTATAGGATGAGGGGTTAAAATCTATAAAGTTAATAAAGTTTAGAGATAAATGTATGATAGCATAGGGAGAGGATATTAAGGTAAAGGATTAGAGGTAGGTTTTTGTCCTAAAAAAAGGGCCAAATTTGCCGCAGCGAAAAAGAAAACTTCATTCATGGGCTGGACTTGAAATGCACAGTTGCATTTTCTAAATTAAATTCCAAGACCCAACAAAAGGTCAAAAATCGTATACAAGCCCAGATCCTCTAACCGGGGTCCAGGCCCTTGGATGGTGGTAATAGGAAACACGGAAAAGGACTTCACACCAGAACTGGAATCTGCAACAGCCCCTGATCTGCCCGTCGGTGAAAGCTCAGGTCCCAGGACATTCGCGAACGGCGAATCAACCGAAGTACGGAAAGATCGAAACAGTCACGACGGAATCCGGTACAAGATGCCGAAGAAGATGGGCGTCAACAGCAAAGCCGAGGAGGCGCGTGCGCGCAAAAGCGCTGTGGAAACTGAGCGCAAGGAGCGGTTAGCCCATGAGAAGGAAGAGCAGTACTGGCGCGAAGCGCAGGGCCCTAAGTCCAAAGCTGCTAAGAAGAAGGAGGAGGAATCTGAGAAGCGCGCCGAGGCAGCTGCTCGCCGCGCTGAGGCCCGCCGGTTGGCTGAGTTGGAGGAGAAGGAGATCGATAAGTCGATTAAGAAGCCGGACAAGAAGGCTAATCGCGTTTCGGTTCCGGTACCGAAGGTGACAGAGGCAGAACTTCGTAGGCGGCGGGAAGAGGAGCAAGCGGAGCAAGCGAGGAAGGCAGAGGAGGCTAAAAAGAAGCAGACCAGGACTGCGGCTGAGGAGGAGTATGAGAGGATGGTCTTGGTGACGAATACCAACCGGGATGATTCCGTAATCGAGGCTAGGAGCGTTGAGGAGGCAATTGTTCAGATGACAGTTGCAGATAATCCGCCAGTGGATCGGCATCCAGAGAGGCGGCTCAAGGCCTCTTTTAAGGTTTGTGATGAGGTCTTGAATTGTTTAAATTTACCTCTTCTGTTAGATGTTATAACATTTGCCTCTGAATTCTTGTTCCTGGACAGGAAGCTTTGAATCCTGTTTTATTACTCAAGTTTTGGTATTGTTAATGAGTAATTGTGCAAATAGGTAATACGAGTTAGTACTGTCTGTGATGAAAACATGGGTTGTTCTAGTGTAATATTCAATAGTGATGTCTGTGGTATTACTTGAAATCTGTTGCCTGCTAGTAATAGGGTTTGCTTCAGGAACCTCTTTTGCACATGTTAGTGGTAAGAAATAGCAAGTGATATAAATCCCCTTCATAATTTTACTTTTTTCCTAACGTGGATGATATTGTTGCCTGTGGCTTGATGTTGATAATAGTGTGATACTCTATCATGTTGAATTGATTATCTGTAATGTTGTGTTCTTGGTATTTTGATCATTAAGTAGTCTCTTAAAGTTTTTTGCTACCTGTGTTAGTCATGTATTGAATGTTATGAATGCATGTAGGCATTTGAAGAAGCTGAGCTTCCCAAATTGAAGGAAGAGAAACCTGGTCTTACTCACACTCAATACAAGGACATGATATGGAAGCTATGGAAGAAATCTCCAGACAATCCTCTAAATCAGGTAGGTTTATTGGCTTCTGAACATTTGCACTTCAGGAATTGTTTTGTGATTTTAGCTTGGCCTTGAACCATATCTGGCGGTTTGATTGGGTAGCATACAAGTTCTTGTTTTGTCTCCAATTAAAGGCATGTTCTACTTCTGTGTGACTACAATTGGTTCCCTGTTCCCATTACAAGAATGATGTAAGGACCATTCGGGTTTGCTGCAAAGATATACTTCTAAGACTGGGCTCTCCACTGACTTGCAAGAAGTTGGGTTTATTTGTCATTTTGTTCTTACTGTTTCTGTTATTTGATTACTATTTGTTTTGCATTGCAGATTGCTGAGTGATCATTGCTGCAACTCGTTTGTGCTTTAAGAGTAGGTGATTTTACCTGTCATGCTGCACAGATGCAAGCCCAAGTGTAGTAAAGCATTTATGATTTATAAAACCTACAGAGCTTCTGGGCTACTGTATGTTCCTTCATGGTTAAAACTACAAAAAAAAAAAAAAAAAAATTCTGAACGAATAATAATGCTACCTATTTATGTCTTATACCTATTTAGATCCGACATCTCTTGTTGCAATGTGACTCTGGACTTTTCCAGTTTCTGTCTCTTTTCCTTTTCCTGAAGCATTGAAATATGATTAATGTACAGTCAAAGAAATAGTACTTGGCATGGTTTGTGCTTATCAGTTTTGTTAATTATGATTTTTTTTCTGCAAATATGTTATCAGTTATGGATTTGTGTTTCTCTTCTTTCCTTGTGGACTCATGAAGAGTAATAATGTGGGATCTGGTTATTGACTTGTATCATGTAAGGCATGCATTTGAAATCGCCTCTATTATCTGAAGTTTGGAGTTACCTTAACTAGGAGGTGTTACTTGTTTATGGATACTGCTTTGATAGAGGACACTGCCTTTTCTTTATTTTTGTCAGAAAACACATTGGCAATTGATGCATCCTTCGAGATTTCTGAATGATTGTGAAGATCAAGGAAGCTTTTACTCTTGTTGGTCATTTCTTATTATAGCTCAGTCCCCTTAACTGTATTTTTGAATCGTTGCCAAAGGCTTATGGATGTTCTATAGCTTGTAGTATGGTTCAAATGTCGTTCTCTTGGAGTCTTAAATGTGAATTTAGGTCAGCAGGTGCAGATTCTGTTTTTTGGATGCAATAGCTAAGCATATAATGAGGTTGGAAGACCTAATATTTTCACTAAGCTTCAGCCAAATGGGCAAAGTTAATAGGGAATACAAATCTCTGATCTCTCCACCATCGAGGGTTAAATCAACTAACTTTAAAGCAGCTTAAGTAGGGTGGAATGTATCCCAAAACAAGTATTCATAGCAATTCGAGCAAAGATTTGCGTTTGGATTGCAGTTGCTGCATTCAAGTTCCCAGCTCAACAGCATACAGTTTTGATTTTCTTAATTTTTGAAACAAAAATGCAGGTTTGATGATAATTAGTTAAATGCGTCATCAAACACTGCAATGCACAACTTTCATGTGTTGGAGTGAAAAGCTTAATGGAAGAGCGTTCTCAACAAAATCCGTCATTTGATATGTGTTTTCGAGGGAATACTTCATGTCCTTGAATTCGTAACTGAGCTTGAACAATTCGTATAGCATTCTTGAATATAAAGTTCTGGCATACTAAATTCTCCAAACAGCCACCTGTTCCCTGTGGCATAATGAATTGATTCTTTGAGATGGAGAACAGTCCATTGGTGCAACACTTGCAATGTTAAACTGCCTCCAAAGAGGAATCTCATGTTCAAATTTTGCAACAGGTGGGGAGAGATTATGGAAGAGGATGTCTATTCTTATTATATAGTCCATCATATAATGTAACTTAAAAAAAAGAGAAAGGAACTTCGCGAAGCCAGACTTGAAAATAATTATTCTCCTTACGACAAATTCAGATGGGGAAAATGAATGTTGAGTTTGCATACATTTACTATGAATATATAAATGAATACAAATTCTAGAAACAAATTGTGTTGCAGAAAATTATGTGCTTCTGCCGGCAGCTCTGCCACAGAGCAAGGCATTCTTTGGAGGAAGGTACTCATCCCTGGTTGATTTTGATGGTGTATAGACTCTGAGGTAAAATTGTTGCCCTAGATATTGCCTTGCCCAAAACTCTGATCTAATATTCCACATCCCCACATTATCCAGTGACATGTAGATTGCAGTCCATGACTGGGGATATACCTGCATAACATAAATAAGTAGCTTCAGTTTCTAATCCTCTAAAAGACAAAATCAGCTTCTAGTCTAGAAAAAAGCCAAAAGAGTTTAAGAAAGTCATTCGAACTAACTTCAACTTTTACAGTAAAGAGGTTATGCTAGAATCAGAATAAATGAGTGCATATAACAAATGCATTGTTATGGCAAAGAAATAGTAAAATTTGTAAGCATTAAAATTTCACATGTAGCTTTCTAACCTGTGTAGTGCAACGTGAAACTGCATCTCTTAGGTTGTAATGATTCCGACTCTTTGGAGTCCATTCTCCTCCATTCATTCTGTAATGCCAAATAAAAGCTCAGGGTCAATATGCAGAAAGAATTTGATTGAATATTCCAATTAGCAATTTTTAAACTTGGTTTCTTAGTTCTTACCCCACCACCCAGAAGTTGTATCCATTAATGTGCCAGCTCTGCATAGTGTTTTCAGGGTTCTCAAATACAATCTCCAAAAAGTCTCTATAGTGAGCACCCATGACAGATGTGTCAAGATACATCTTTGCGCCAGTTGGATTATCCGAGATGCTTCCGACTCGAAAAACTCTATCAATCTTGAAGTAGTCTGCAAGCTTGAGGGGTGTATCAGGCGGCACAAATGACACACTGTTGGCTGCATATCTCTGCTTGCCATTCACCTGAGCAGCTGAGCTCACTAACTTGATTGTTCTTGTAATGTTAACGAGTCCATAGTGGAATGATCCCTGAGGGTTAGGCCTTGGTCCACTAGCTGTCAGATTAGTCCTGAAATGCACCAGAGGTGAAACTATTAGTGTTATGTTGAATAGTTATTAGATAAACATAGATACGTCATTCTATGGATCAAAGTTCTTGCCTAATTGATCTGGCTTGATAAAGAGAGTAATCAATTTCAATGGTTGGTCCACCGGGGATGGGGCCTGACACAGCTTTGTTAGAGTTGTTGTAGTGGAGGATGGCAGCGGCGTAGAGGACCTTGGAGGTGAAACGGGTTGAAACCGCAATGTAGAAATCCTGAGCAGGCTGGTCCATGGTGACAAGCACAGAATAGGATTGACCGACATGGACATCAATTGAGTCATAGGTGCTTTGGATTGTGTGAGTCCCTTCCACTTCAACTAGCCGCATTTTGTGACCTTGGATCCGGAAATTCAGTGTATTCTGGAGACCAACATTTGATATCCTGAACCTGTAAGTTTTGCCTGCAGAACATAAAGAAATCCTTATCGTCATTCAGCATTATAAAATAAAAACCAAACACCTTAAACATGTTACAAAATTTGAATATTTACCTTGGTCAACAATGAAATATGCATTACTTGACCTTTTTCCATTGATCAAAATGCCATGAGGGAAAGGAAGCTTATGGCCACGATCAAGAACAGCCTGCAAAACCTGCAATCCGCATAGATTATAGTCTCATATAGGGCTTTCAGATTACATAACTTGGTCAAGAACATCATGAAGAACTTGTTGATTTACCTTGTGATCAAACTTGTACCAATCTCCAATAAGAACAGTGAAATCTCCGGCTGGTTGAGGGAATGGAACAGGAATGAGAGGCCTACTGAGGACCCTAATGCCACCAAAGCCACCGGCAGCCTTGTGGAAAGCCAGAGATGGGAAGTAGAAGAAGCTCCCAATTTGATCTTTCACTTGTAAAATGTAAGTGAAGTTCTTCCCTGGAGGGATTGGACAAGTAGTGCCATAAACTCCATCTTCATATGAAT